CCCCCCCCCCCCCCCCCCCCGCCCACCCCCTGCCCTGAGCCCCCATATCCTGCCCTGAGCTGTCCCTCCTCCCAACCCTCTGTCTCAGAGCCCCTCACACTCTACCCCATACTTCAGTTTTACAGTACTGTTTGCAACTTCCACCCCCCTGTCCTGAGTCCCTCTCCTGCCCCAGAGGGGGTGCAATACGACAATACTTGTATTAATATTTAAGTTACTTTCACCTCTGCCTTCAATAGACAACATCTCCTGCCCTGAGCTGTCCCTCCTCCCAACCCTCTGTCTCAGAGCCCCTCACACTCTACCCCATACTTCAGTTTTACAGTACTGTTTGCAACTTCCACCCCCCTGTCCTGAGTCCCTCTCCTGCCCCAGAGGGGGTGCAATACGACAATACTTGTATTAATATTTAAGTTACTTTCACCTCTGCCTTCAATAGACAACATCTCCATTTAGGTATCAAATGGTTAATCACGGTTCAATAATGTACATCTTAATCTGGAATCTCTCAAGTATCAGAGGGGGAGCCGTGTTAGTCTGGATCTACAAAAACAAGGAGTCCTGTCGCACCTTCTAGACTAACATATATTGGAGCATAAGCTTTTGTGGGCAAAGACCCACTTCATCAGATACCTGCGCTGGAAATTTCCACTGCATGTACAAATATTCAGGCCAGAATAAGGCTAGAGATAACGAGGTTAATTCAGTCGGGGGGGGGGGGGGGCCCACCCAGGGGGGCCCACTTCTAGTAGCTGATGTGGAGGTGTGAACACCAACAGGAGAAACTGCTTTTGTACTTTGCTAGCCATTCACAGTCTTTGTTTAATCCTAAACTGATAGTGTCAAATTCGCAGATGAACTGTAGCTCAGAAGTTTCTCTTTGAAGTCTGGTCTTGAAGTTTTTTAGCTGCAGGATGGCTACCTTTACATCTGCTACTGTGTGTCCAGGGAGATTGAAGTGTTCTCCTACAGGTTTTTGTATTAGCCATTCTTAATATCTGATTTGTGTCCATTTATTCTTTTACATAGAGGACTGTCCAGTTTGGCTGATGTATATAGCAGAGGGGCATTGCTGGCACATGATGGTGTTGGTGTAGCTGATCTGGTTAGGTCCTGTGATGGTGTCGCTGGTGTAGATGTGGGTAGAGTTAGCACTGAGGTTTGGATTGCTTCCTGAGTTAAGAGGTACTGTGGTGCAGTGTATAGTTGCTGGTGAGAAATTGCTTCAGGTTGGTGGGTTGTCTATAGGAGAGGACTGGCCTGCCTCCCAAGGCCTGTGAAAGTGAGGGATCATTGTCCAGGATGGATTTGTAGATCACTGATGATGTGTTGGAGAGGTTTTAGCTGAAGACTGTAGGTGATGGCCAGTGGTGTTCTGTTGGTTTCTTTCTTGGGCTTGTCTTATAGTAGGACACCATCAGTTTAGGATCAAACAAGATTGTGAACAGCTAGCCAGCTACAAAAGCAGTTTCTCCTCTTGGTGTTCACACCTCCACATCAGCTGCTAGGAGTGGGCTTCATCCTTCTCACTAAGTTAACCTCATTATCTCTAGCCTTATTCTGGCCTGCATATTTATACCTGCCTCTGGAAATTTCCATTACATACATCTGACAAAGTGGGTCTTTGCTCACGGAAGCTTATGCTCCAATACATCTGTTAATCTATAAGGTGCCACAGGACTCCTTGTTGCTTTTGGAATATTTCAGTAATTTAAATTTAAACACATACTAAACATACTGGTGTACAATAATTTTGGAGGTCTCAGCCTTAACTAATGTTTGATATTTAAGATGTCAGGATCTTTTATTTTGGCTATTGTGAAGTTACTTTAGAGGTTTCATATCATTGTCTTTTTTCCAGTAAATGCAAAAGGAGGTTCTCCACAACTCAGTCAGCCCCCAGCCCCTGCTCAACACACTTCCACCATGAAAGCAAATGAGAATGAGGCAACATTATTGCAGAATGAGTTTACACACAGTTACTCAGGAACAGCTATTCCTGACCAACTAAGTGTAGACAAGCCCTTAATCTGGATTCAGATGACATCACTGAATGCTCTGCCTGGAAAACAGTAATGGAGAGGAGACTAATACAAACCTCATCTGCACTGTCCCCCTGGGGAGTGGTCTCATCTCCAGGTTTCGGTGAGCCCAAGTCAAAGCTCTTCCTGCCATCTCGCACTTTCTTCTGTTTTTTGATGTTACTCTCTGTTTTCCCACTATTCAGCCGACGCACAGGGCTTGTTAGCCATTTTTTCAGGGTGTTGGTTGAACGCTTTGGGCCAGGAGAGCTCTGGATTGAGTTGAGGGACGACTGAGGCTGCAAGTTGGCCACTGATTCCGACTTGCCTCCATTTTCATTGGAGGAGACGGAATATGCATCTGAAGGAAACAAAACAAATGATTGATGATAATGCTGTCTGGCTTTCCAGGGCTACCCTAGATTAGGATGTACCAGGTTACAGTTCATAGGGATTGGTGCAAAACAAGACGCTGAACAAGTCGATCTATTTTCAATAAAGTCTACAGCAGAACTCTTTACTGTATACCTCATTTAGCAGTTATTCTCCAGATTCCATTCCTCCCATATCATATACTTGTGAAACATGAGACCTAAAAGGGTCACTAGAATTTCTCAGTTTCTATCCCAGATTCCCCTGTGAAAGGAGAGCAGGCATAAGACAGCTACAGCAATACGGAATACAAAGGTCTGCCCAATACCAATACAGAGTCAGTATGTTCCATTTTCCTTAACTACAGCCTGGAAGCTTAGTGATCATATTTAAGCACTGTCTTCGGATAGCTACACACCATTGTGTTTTTAGGCAGCACCCCAACCTTGTGCTAGCTTATTAGAAGCGGGAAAGTAAGAGAGAACTGCTTTAAGTCATTCCTGACAGGCTCCTCCTTTTGCAGGTTCCCTCCTCTTGATAGGGAGGCTAATTTTTTCATGGGGCTTATTTTCATGTATGGCTATGCATACTAAGTAGCAGACATCTGCTGTTAGAATCCCCTCATCCCCTCCTGGCCTGTCAATGAGTATAGTACCCCCATGGCCTTGAACACCCTACTAATGGGGCTAGCACATGATAGGACTTGAGTGAGGTACATGTTTAAAGTCAATTGGAAAAGAATCCACTCTCTGGCTGCCGAAGTGGCACCTTCCATGAATGAATTTTGTACATGTCAGTAACTGTTAAAGGTTTTTAACTGCTATAGTAATTAGCCTGGGGAAAGATTGTTTCCTGGAAACAGATGGACATTCCGTTTCAGAGGGGAACATATAATCAGTGAAGAGACATTGAGTGAAGAGTTGTGGAAAGTTTGCATTCCATAGCCAACATGCAGGGAGTTTAAACTGGAGCAGGAAGGGAACTCATATCTAGCATGTTGCTCAAAAGTGCAAAGTTACCATTCTGAAACCTTGAATTCTGCTGACACAACAGGGCATGCTGATAAAGTATGGCTGTCAAAGCAACTCGTGAGTCCTGAATATGGAAAGTGTCTGAAGCCTATTAGGCAGCAGATAAGCTTGCCACTGAAAATGGCTCTGTAAGCCTCTCATATACCCTTTTAACATTAGTTGATAAAAATATTGAAAAAATAAGACCAATAGTAACTGACTTAAGCTGGTCAGTCTCAGATAAGGCTGGGTTTGAAAAAAATAATTAAAAAAAAAAACACACTTAAAAGGGAGTCAAAATTGATGGACCCCAAAAACCCCAGCTCTTCTCCTCTCCCCACATCTGCCTGTGGCACAGAATATTCCAGAAGGTCTGCCTATTAGCTGGATGTTTTCAAATTAGTTCCTTCTTTTGCCAGAAGAGAAATGATCAATCTGGGCATTCTTAATGTCAGAGGAGCCAAACTAAAGCATCTTAGCCTACTGCAAACTTCTGTCTTGTCCCGGGGTCTCTTTCTGCCCCACATCCCCCACAAATTGGATACAATTTTGTGGCGACCTTGAGGCTTTTTTTTCCACCGCCTCCGAGAATATTTCCAAACCACCACTGAACATCAATCTGACCTACCAGATCCCCCCTACCAACACCAAAGGAAAAATAATTCTATATGGACTCCCCCTGACGGTCGGAATTACAATCTGGATTTCTATATACACCCTCCGAGAATATTTCCAAACCACCAATGAACATCAATCTGACCTACCAGATCCCCCCTATCAACACCAAAGGAAAAATAATTCTATATGGACTCCCCCGGTTGGAATTACAATCTGGATTTCTATATACAAAGCTTCCTCAACAATGCACAGACTGACATTATTCGCAAACGACAACAAGCGACACACAATCTTAGCCGTGCTGAACACCATGCCATCCAGAGTCTCAAAAACAACCTGGACATTATAATCAAACCAGCTGACAAAGGGAGTGCTGTGGTCATTATGAATAAGGCTGACTATAACCAGGAGGCAACCAGACAACTCTCAAATACCACATTTTACAAACTTCTCCCCTCTGATCCCACCTTGGAATACCAAAAGAAACTACACTGTCTCCTTAAAAGCCTCCCCACAGCTACTCGGGAACAAATCCACACAGAAACACCTTCTGACCCCCGACCAGGATTGTTCTATCTGCTTCCCAAGATCCATAAGCCTGGGCACCCCGGACATCCCATCATCTCTGGTATTGGCATGCTCACTACTGGTCTATCCAGCTATGTAGACACTCTTCTCAAACCCTTCGTAACCAATACCCCCAGCTATCTCCGAGACACTACTGACTTCCTAAGGAAACTACAAAACATCGATAACCTCCCCAATAATACCATCCTTGCCACCATGGATGTAGAAGCTCTATATACCAACATCCCACATGAAGACGGATTACAAGCAATTAGAAACACTATCCCAGAGGACACTACTGCCAACCTGATAGCAGACCTATGTAACTTTGTTCTCACCCACAATTATTTCCAGTTTGAGAACAACTTATACCTCCAGATCAGCGGCACAGCCATGGGTACACGCATGGCCCCACAGTATGCTAACATCTTTATGGCTGACCTAGAACAACGTTTCCTCAACTCCCGTCCCCTTTCACCCCTCCTCTACCTACGGTACATCGATGACATCTTTATGATCTGGACACATGGCCAAGAAACACTGGAGATATTCCACAGAGATTTCAACAACCTACACCCCACCATCAACCTCAGCCTGGACCATTCTACACGAGAGATCCACTTCCTGGACACCACCGTACAAATCAACAATGGAAAATTAGACACCACTCTCTACAGAAAACCCACTGACTCATACAGTTACCTACATGCATCCAGCTCCCATCCAGAACACACCACACGATCCATCGTCTATAGCCAAGCCCTTCGATACAACCGCATCTGCTCTAACCCCACTGACAGAGACCAGAAGCTTCAGGATCTCTACCAAGCATTTATAAATCTCAACTACCCACCCAGAGAAACAAAAAAGCAAATTGAAAGAGCCAGGGTACCTTCCCTTGCAACAAACCCCGTTGCCAGCTTTGTCCACGTATTCATTCTGCTGATACCATTATTAGACCTAACCGAGTGAGTTATAAGATCAAGAACATATATTCCTGCGCATCCAGAAATATAATTTATGCTATCATGTGCCGAAAGTATCCGTCTGCTATGTACATTGGACAAACATCTCAGACACTTCGCCAAAGGATTAATGCCCACAAAACAGATATCAGACAAGATCACAAAGAGAAAACAGTTTCTTGCCATTTTAACCAGAAAGGACACTCTCTCAATGACTTGACCACCTGCATTCTGCTACAAAGACTTTTTACATCTGCACTTGAAAGGGAATCCTCTGAACTGTCATTCATGTTAAAATTCGACACTCTCCGAGAAGGAATGAGCAAATACTCAAACTATCTTACCCATTACCAAGATAGCTTCCCCAATTATCACCTCCAATACCATTAGCTCACAGACATCCCACTCTCCCCACCTCTAATATCATCAATTCACAGACACTTACCTTCCTTCCTTCCCCCGCATCCCCTTCCTGTTCTGAAATATGATTTGTCCTTTTCACATGTGTTCATTCTTTTAAATTGTATCCTTTGGTTTATATGGTTGTGACTATTTTCTTCCACTATTTGATCTGAGGAAGTGGGTCTGGCCCACGAAAGCGCATCATCTAATAAACCATCTTGTTAGTCTTTAAAGTGCTACATTGTCCTGCATTTTGCTTCTACTGCAAACTACGTTCTTCTTACAATTAACTCTAAACATGAAGTAAAATGCTTGTTTGTGACAAGTTTGTGACAACTCCCCCTTCCAAAGAAGCTCTCTTCGCTAACAAAAATCCTATGATTCTATCCAATTTGGTTCAAGTTTAGCCTAGTTCTGCTCTTTCCTGGTTTATAATTTGTGTATCTTAGGGCAAATATCCACTGGTCAATGAAGACTCTACCCCTGGTGATGGCTAAAGAATGGGACACAACTTTGGTTCCAAAACTAAACCATCATTCTTTGGATGAGGAGTCACATGTATTAGCCTATTACCTACCCTTTTAATGGCATCCAATTTACCATAGGACAGTAAAACTAGATGCCATAAAAGTCAATAGATATCAGATTTACAATACATAGAAGTAGTGAAGGTAAAAATGTTCACTGTTGCTTTCCCAAGTACTAGTCTGTTGCGGTCTGCTCCAGTTCTCACTTCTTCCCTCCAAAGATGTAACAGTGAAGTCTCTTTACCTAATCAAGGAGAAACCAAATACTCTACTTTAAGGCAGTACAACCGCCCTTTAACAAAGCCTTCTAAAAGGAACTCTGGTACAATTGTTTAAAGGCTCTTTTCTCAGAGCCCAAATAAAGTCTTAGTTCAAAGCACAGCTTCTGCTTTAAGGTGTCAGTCTGTAGAACACTCTAGGCATTGGAAAAGCCTATTTCAAGGTCTCCCCCAAGCCTCTCTGGCCTCAGAGCTTTTGCTTTGTTCAGGCTTCCTTTCTCCTCAGGAGCTCTGACCAAGCGCCTTAGCCTTCTATCATGCCCACTTACTCCCTTGTCTAAATACATGCCTTCCAATTATTCAGTGAGTTAACTCTCAGGTGAACCTGGGAGTACCCCCACATGGAGCCTCTCAGATGTCAGAGCCCAGCCTACAATGTTGTCTTACAGTCTTCCCTTGAAACAATTCCTGCCTTGGTAAGGGGGTAAAAGATTGTCTGGCATCTGCCCCTATTAAGAAACTCCGCTCTTTCCATCTAAAACACCTGCTGGAAACAGCTAAGACTGAACAGAGGCAAGGATCGGGCCCAACCTATGAGGCTGCTTAGCTTGTGCAAGATTTTTTGGAACTGTTTAGGGTAAGAATTTGCATGAACAAGTTTTAGTGGATTAGAATTAGCTGT